GGCCTGGACCTTGTACGTAAAACTTGTTGGCATATGTTCATTTTCGACGGATGTATTTTTCCTTTGTTTGTTTGTTTGTTTGTTTCTATACTGTTAGACTTGTAATGTTATAAATTGTATTTTATTAAATTGGACTGGATGTATGTCTATAGCAATACGAGGTACTTTTTCTTTAAAAGAGACTCTGGGATGGGTAGGTTAACAGTACCTCCCTCCCCCATTGCGATATGCTGGCTGTGTATAATTGCAATGTATTTTTTTTTCTTTTTTTAGCCTGCAGGGATTTTGTGTTCATGTGTCCAAAAAATAAAGGCATTTGTTGCCAAATGTTTTTTCTTCGGTGTGCAATAAAAAAAGCTTGTCTTTTATTTTTGTTCTAAAACCAGTGTGCTACTGATTAGATTCATGGTAGAAACAAGGGCATGAAATGGAATTTTAAATAATATTATTTGGATGCCTGACTGTAAACCAAATAACTGAGAAGTTGAAATTTAGAATATTTAAGAACCAAGTCACATATTGGATAAGAAGCAAAGAATGTGAAATATAAAGTAAACATACTTGTGGCCTTGACTTTGATGGCATTTGAATCAATATAACTGTAACCCGAGATAATTTTTTGTGTTTTGGCTAAGCTAAATAAGTTATCAACTATATGACCTTGGCAATCAAAGTAAACACTAGGCAGAATTTACTGAGGAAGGCAATTGCAATAAGCAGCGAACTAATTCCTTCTCTTAGTTCATAATGTGCATGTAACTGGATAATACTTATTTTGTATTATATTTTACATTCGCATGCTGCATCTCTCCAGAGAGAACTTACCTTGGGCAAGATAAGACCAAGAGAAATCTTGGATAAAAATGAGTAAGAATATAATGCATAATAACATCAACAGAAATAGTCAACCAGTCTGATGATGAAGGGTACATGGTCTTTTAAGTATACTTAAAAAAGATTGTTTTGCCCCTCCCTCTAGTAATATAAAATTTTAAAGTAATCATAATGAGAAATTGTAGTAGCTTGATGACACACAAAATGAAATCCTGCTTTACACAATGCAAAATTATACATAGTATTATGATTCTCACCCATTTTGATTGTCTCCAGCCAAGATGTATTTGTGACTACACCTGTTGGTTTTTACCCACCCATTTTTGGCACTTATGCTATGCAATCTTAATGCAAAGATTAAAAGATAATCTATCACTCAGAGATGCAACCAACCATATTTCTGGGCTAAAGTGGTTGAGGTAACCATGGACAAATGTAGGTGCCCATTTTAAAATATACCCTCATGCTTGTACATTTGATTTTAAGCTCTGCTTATGACTTAATGTGAAGCAAGCCAAGTGATTTATCCGGTGAATTTGGGTTACGCAGAACAGCTAACTTTTTAAAGACTTTGCAGTGACCTCTGAACCCCTTTAAAAGTGTGCCCCCAAAGTCAGAGTGGCGGCTTTGATGCATGTTCAAAGCCCTGTCCTTTTTAAAGTGTGCCTTGAAGCATCAAGAACAAAGCAAGGTTTCAACAGCCATCTTGATTATTTTTTTTCCGCCCCTACGGCAGACCCTCTGTGGGCACTCAGAAAGTTATAGTAACCCTCTCCTCCTAGAAGACATTGTCCCTTGAGTTGAGGTGCATCCCAACGTGATGAAGATGACCAGCCTTGTCCTCTTCAAGAGAGACTTTGGACTTCTTTTAGAGCAACTATGATAGGCTTAGTTTTAGGGGTTAGCATCTTTGTTTCTAGTTGTATTTGTTCTACAGATGGATTTTGTGATTTCCTCCATGTTTGCATTCCTGATGTTGCAAGCCAGCTAGAATCAGAAGAGCTAGCACCATAGAGGTGTCCAAAAAACATTGTCAACAATCTGAATCAGCTGCATAATTCAAGCTAGCCCAGAGTCTTAAGAGTTGGGCAGCATACACATTTGATTAACAAAGAATCTTAGTTGCCAGCAAGGTTTCCAATGTGGAGACTCGCTCCAAGAAATCCATGGTACTGTACAGCACAGAGAGGCTGGGGTGACTTCCTTGACATTCCCTCAGATCTCCACTAAGGGGCACCAGCAGTGGATTCCTTTGTTGGCCACAAGAAGTGAAGAAGGACAAATCCAGGGAATGGTTGCTTCAAATGGTGAAAGGACTAGATCTCTCTTGCAGCTGCAAAGGATCCATGCTGTGGGGCAAAACCATTAGTAGGACTAATATGGTCTAACAAAAGCAAAAGGGGTGAAGGATTAAGAGTTTGAAACTTACAGGTATTTTGAAACAAGGTCACTCAATCAGAACAAATTGAAATGGATCACCACCTGTGCACCCACCTGTGCTTCGAAAGAAGAACCAAAGAATTAACTAAAATGAGAGATGTAGAAAACAGGAAAAAGATGCCTTTACTAGTAGTGTTGAATGAAGCTGTAGGGTTTAACACTTTCTTTTTTATCTACTCTTGGGTCATCTTCCTTTCACTATTACCTGCATATAGGTATTCTCTCAACTGTTCCTTTAATGACCCTTAGAAGTTGCAATGGGACTAAAAAAAAAGTGATTTATGCCTTTGGACATGTGACTATTGCAGCATCCCCATGGTAACTCGATCAAAATTTGGGCGTTTGGCAACCAGCATTTATTTTCAAGGGTTGCAATATCCTGGGGTCATGTAGTCACCTTCTCCGTTGGCTTCAGACAAGCAAAGTCATAGGCGAAGCCAGATTTGTTTAACAAATATGGCTTGCTTAACAACTGCAGTGATTCATTTAACATCCGTGGCGGGGGAAAAATGGACACAACTCAATGCAAGCTTAGGAATGGAAATTCTGGTCCCATTCTTGTGACTGTTGTTAAGTAGGGAACTATCTGTATCCTAAATCAGGGGTCTCCAACCTTGGCAACTTTTAAGACTTGGGGACTTCAACTCCCAGAGTTCCTCAGCCAGCTTTGCTCCCAGGAACTCTGGGAATTGAAGTCCACAAGTCTTAAAGTTGCCAAGGTTGGAGACCCTTGTCCTAAATTGTGTCACAGCACTGTATGAACCTCCATATTATTTGGGATGCCCAGAGAACAACAGTCCACTTAGCTTCAGCACAATCCCTAGATCAGGGGTCTCCAACCTTGGCGACTTTAAGACTTTGTGGACTTCAACTCCCAGAATTCCTCAGCCAGCAAAGCTGGCTGAGGAATTCTGGGAGTTGAAGTCCACAAGTCTTAAAGTCGCCAAGGTTGGAGACCCCTGCCCTAGATGGTTGGTTGGTTGGCTGGCTGATTTATTTATTAGAAGTGAATGCCAGCTTTTAAAATAGTGTGTCTCAACCTGGGGCATCTTTTAAGATGGGTGGACTACAACTCATTGTGGAGTTGTCCACATGCTGGCTGGGGACTTCTTGAAATCCAGCCATCTTACAAGTTGAAAAGTTTGGGGAAAAAAAGGTTGGTTTAGAAGGAATGAATTGCAAAACGAATCAGGAATAGTAAGAACAAAAGGGTAAAGAGTAAGTAAGAGGGAACGGATTGCAAATCTCAACCGGGAAGAGAGATGAGAAAATGAAAAACAAGCATAAAATGGACTGACTCGAGGGGAATCAATGGTGGTTTTGGAGGACAAGAAAGGAGCAGAAAAATAGATGAATCCTCTTGGCGTAAAGAACACTCAAAAGTTCCCTTTCAGAGTCCAATCCGAAGCAAGACATAGGCCCAGAGAGTATTTTTCTTTTTTTCTTTTTTTAAAAAAAACAAGTTTTATTTTCAAGACAAACAATACATAAATACACATAAACACAAAACATAAAAGCATAAAAAATCTCTTTTCTGAAAGTTGCTTAATCCCGGGTTAAAACTCTTGGTACAGACACAAATTCAGTTTCATATTCATTTTACATACCATTTCATATCTTATTAACATTTTCAATTTTCTATATAACTTCTCCTCTCCTTTAAATTTTCTCAATTTTCCCCCCCTCCTCTCAATTCATATCCTAATATTTATTATTCTTTGTCTGTTCTATTCCAGCCAATCGTTTATTTTTCTTCTTTAAAAAAAAGAAGAAATACTTCTGTACACTATATGGAGATGATGTCTTTATCTTTTTCCCTTATATTTATAGTACCTAATATAAAATACATAACATACATTGGGATTCTGTCTGGTACATTCTAAAATTATACTATATTATCAAAAATAATACAAATCTATTCATTAATATTGATATTCATTCATATCTTAGACGTTTAACTCATTACTTTTCAATTAAATCACATACTTTTATGAGAGCCCTATTTTCCATAATTATCCCCCCCCACATCACATATTATAGCTCAATATTTCATTGAAATGTTCCTCCTCCTTCTACTTCAAATCTCATTTCACAATTTTTTTTGCTAGTATACCATGTTCTAATCATTAATTTTAACAATCATATCTTAAATATTTTATCCATTTCAAGTTCCCTTTCAGAGTCCAATCCGAAGCAAGACATAGGCCCAGAGAGTATTTTTCAACGTGAAGATGGGTGGATCATTTCCCAGAATTCCCCAACCACCTCGGGAATTCCCCAGGAATTCTGGGAGATGACGTCACTGAGGTTGGGAAACCCTCGTGGAAGAAGCTCCTTTTAGGGACGTTTCCTTTCCTTGCCTGGAGATATTAATTTCTTCGGCTCCCGATTCCCTAATGTTTGCCTAATGCTGCTCCCTAGAGGGGGCTAGAGGTGGGCTGCCTGCATCCGTTCCCAGCCCTGGGCGTTTTGTGGCCGGAATTCTCTCCTGACGTCTCTGGGGCCAAGAGCATCTCTCCTCCGGCCTCGGAAGCGTCGGAAGTGTCGGCTCTTTCGAGACTTCCCCTCGTTTCTTACCTCTTTGCTCCGCTCCTCGCCTCCCCCGCCCTTTCCTCCCTCCCTCCCTCCCTCCCTCTCTTTCCCAGCCTGCGGCGGCGCTGGTTGGATGGGCTACCGCGCAGGCGCAATCCCGGGATCCCGGGCTCGTCCCGAGCAGAGGCTGCGGCTGCAGCGGCGCCCAGGTCCCGGTGCTCCTTTGGACGTGGGTCTCTCTCTCTCGCCGTCGCAAGCGCGCCCTCCTCCCCCTCTCCCCGGTCCGGGGCGCCGCCCGCGTGGATGGGATGGACGCGGGTCCCTCGGGAGCAGGTACCCTTGCAAGGAGCCCGGGAAGGGCCAGCTCAGAGGGGCAGCGTGCAGCGGGAGTGGGGGGGCGGGGGGAGGATGCAATCGGTCCGGGCGACTCCGGGAGCCCGTGCAATAAATGGGGGCTGGAGGGGGGGTCTCTCCAGAGGAGCAAGAGCGACCCCGGGATTTTGCAAAGGGGAGGGGGCTTCTGGGCTTGGGAACCCGGGGGAGGGGGGGCCTTGGGGGGCGCCGGGGGCGAGGGCCAGGGTTGCGGAGGGCGCCAGGTTGGTCGAAGAACAATGGAGGCGAAGGCGGCGGGATGTGGGGGGGGTGGGGGGCTTGGGGTGAAAGAGGTATCGGGGCAGGCGGTTTGCAACGTTGGGGAGGGGGGCTGAAGGCGAGGCGAGGCCCGAGCTGGACGTGAGGAGGGGGCCCACGTTTGGAGGGGGAGTCTCTAAGTTCCAGCCCGCTGGCTCGGGGGGGGGGGGG